GCCGATTATATATAGTAGGATTTATTCGATTTAACCTCTACTTTTTACAGTGAATCAGTATTACTTTCTCCATTTCTTTATCTGAAGACTGATCTTGAATCTTGTAGGGATATGGTTACATTCCCAGCCTACGCTGCCGACGTCCGTTACCGTATAAAAGGACCGCTTCTGAGTGGGAATCTGGTTTTTTCTCCTCTGGCACGCCGATCGCTCAAGCTAAGGAATCCTCGTCATGTCCTTTCTGCTCAATATAGGATCCTTACTCGTCGTCGTCTCTTGTCACAACATTGGACCACTATCTCGCAACCCCCGTCATGTCCTTTCTGCTCAATATAGAATCCTTACTCGTCGTCGTCCCTCGTCACAACATTGGACCCCTACTCGCGATTGTCAGCAATATCGGACTCGTCCCTCTTGTATCGCCGCAATAAAGGACGAGTACGTGGAAGATTCTGGTGTCAACTATAGATCTGTATATAATAAATATTAGTGGTACTTTTGTCTGGTACCGTCCAATTTAGAACCCGCGTGGCACACAGACAGGCGAGCACGGAAAGACAGGAGTCACACCACTGGAGACACCACATTCACTTTTAGCGGTGGCGCCATCTGGCGCCAGTTGGCGTCACCTTGTCACGACACCTGTTTTCACCAAATTTGGTGTAAACTTCCGTATAGGGGTTATTTGGTGTCCTGATTACGAATATGACATTCATTCTCGGCGCTGGCGCTATTTGCGCCTATTTTCTGCTCGTCTGCGCTCTCCAACCGGAAAGTGTGCACTTGAACAACGTTGATATACAGAAGTTCACCTCGATTTTGGTGAAAACAAGGGTCGTGACAAGGTGATGCAATCTGGCTCCGCTCCATAAAATAAATGTGTATTCAGGCATCGAATTACCTCTGTAGACAAACTCATGATAGTTGATAAGGTGTACAAATTTCACTGCACGAAGAGGTTTTAACGTGATGTCGGCGCGGGCTTACCTACCACGAATTAGGGTATCAACCTTTAGAACGCACTACTTGTCATTACCAGTTTGGTCACCATTCAACGGCCGGAACCTTTACGACTTAGAATGACATACCAAAACCTAACCTCACCCTAAGTCTGTTGGTGATTGATTTTCTCCCCTTCCCTCCACTGTGCACCAGCTGCCACTGCGGCATCATGCCGAATGACCGGAAGTGTGCTCATTAGGTATTTACAGTCGATATCCGAAAGTTGGGGTGGGTGTGTCACCGGAAGTGACGTGCACTTGATAGAAGTGCGTGGATAAGCTGTTGCCAGCATGCTTTGCTGATAGCCAGCGATGTATGTTGGAAGCAGCTTATCCACATAGTTTCTATCAAGTGCACGTCACTTCCGGTGACACGCCTACCCCAACTCACCGATATCGAGTATACATATGCCATGGGTGTATCAAATCAGGCCATTGCGAAACACTAAGGGCTCAAGTCCTGCGAGCTACCCAGATTTGCTTAGCGGTTTGTTTATTCCATTAGCTTCCTTATCACTCACTTCATTTTGCGGACGGACACACATACATACATACATACAGATACATACACAAACCGACACACAAAGTTAGCGCTTTATAAAATAGAAGGATTCTTGTCAAAATGTTCCTTGTTTACATTCCGACTACTATCCTTCTATTTTATAAAGCGCTAACTTTGTGTGTCGGTTTGTGTATCTGTATGTGTGTGTGTGTGTGTGTGTGTATGTGTGTCCGTCCGCAAAATGAAGTGAGTGAGAAGGAAGCTCATGGGATAAACAAACCGCTAACAAATCGGGTAGCTTACAGGATTTGAGATATCAATGTTTTGTAGCAGGATAGTTGTGATAACACTCTTAGGGCTATATAAACACCTGCTTAGCACACTTCCGTTCATTCCACATGGTGCTGCAGTGGCAGCTGGAGGGCAGTGGAGAGAGGAAGGGAGGATGAGGAAGGGAAGCGAAAAATCTACCGTCATATCATGATTGTGTCCCTTCTACTGTTTGAAACACCATTGTGTTGCATACGCGTCTTCCACCAGGTGTTGGTGTCACAGGAGGAAGGGACCATAGCGGAGGATAGAAAGCTTGCGCAGGAAAGGAAGGTCCCGGCGGTTGACGGGGGACTAATCTGGTACATATAATCCCGTTCCCGAATGATATGGATGTGGCATATAATGACTCCCGTTGTTAAAGCCACGAGTCAGGCTCAGTGGACCAAACCAATCACTTTAGTCGTCTATGTGCATGGCTACGCACCCACAGGGACGTTGCCATGCTCAGAATCTCAAAAGGCGCCGTAATAACGCCCCAGGGCATGCATTAAGCGCTCGCGCCGCCTGGAGGCGCTCCGGCCGCCCACCATGGGATGTGGTGCGTGGCTGGCCTAACGTGTGAGATCAGCTGAGTTGATTGCCGTATCAACCGATGGAACGGCTGGCATATCCAGAAAACTCGTTTGGACGTGACTCTCCCCCGAGCAAATCTCCTTCACTGCTAGAAGGAATGGGTTTCTATTTAGGTGTTGTCGACAGTTTTTTTCGTTTTTTCTTCACTATCGTTCCACCTCCCATCTCTAAACTCAATATCAGGCGCCATAATGCCGAAACACGAGCCTGACTTTTGCCTTTAAGTAATAAATCTAACAAAACGCTAGAACCTTTCCACACATTGTTTGATTCTAAACTTGTTGGGAATTAGCTCGAATGTGGTTCCTATCTATTTGCGCATTTGCACACTTCGTTTAGAGCTTCGGCCCCTATACCGCCCCAACTTCGCTCCCCCCTGCGTTCTCTGGACTAATATAAAGGGCTGTTTTTGACTACATATTGTGATCTCGCATATTCTGGATTTTTCCACACCGTATTGGCTCCATCCCGGGTTGTAAGTCCCTACAAGGTTTAACTCTTAGGGCACACAATTTCTTCCCTGAGATCCGGAGCCTAGGCAGGCGCCGTTCTTCAAACGTCTGTGCTCTAGCCATTCGCGGCAAAACTACTAGGGAATGTTCACGTCAAGTAAACTTCCTAAAGCACCGCCACAGGTCTTCAATGACTTGCTTCTTGTAGGGAGTTAATCGTACACGAATCACTAAACCAGCTTCATTCAGAACGTCGGACCTCATGTTCCCTTGTCTCTTCCAAAAATCATTATCGCTCACCATTGCTAGAGAAATAAGCCAGGTGAGCCCAGAAGATTCACCACATTTTGACATAATTGCTGTGGGTGTTTACATATATCTTTCCTCCGAGATGCGAATCTTTTATCAGTCATATCCTCTCCATGTGATTGGCCGTGCCATATAACCCAACTAAAAGGAAACAGTCCACCCCTTATCTTTCGGCTTGCGTCTGCTCCTGCGTGCGCCTGAAACTTCAAAGTGCATAATCTTTCACACATGCTGATCACCCCTCTGTAACACATCGCACTTCTTTGGACATCTTAACGCACTCCGCGGCCTAGCTGGGGCATTGTTTAAAAGAACTATAAAATGTAGGCTACGGAGCACACTGCCAACCTATGTTTATCTTCTCAGGCAAAGCATGGAGAAAGCGGAGCCGACCTGCAGGTGCTAAAGTTCGCTTGAGAAAGGTGACCAGACCGCTGAGACTTTTGAACAGAATAATACGGAGAGTGGATTTATAACAACTGCATACAAGTCATCGTAAGCTGCACAAGTGCTCAATCAAGCTGCTCAATCGAACACAAAGAAGAAGCGCAGAGAGACAAAGACTGCGAAGAGCTGTGGCCAAAGGGCCGAAAGCGCTTACTTGCGTTAGCACCGTTCTCTCGGCGAAGTTAGTCTCTCAAACTTCGAGAATGCCCATGGTTTCGAAGAAGCCAATGAAAAGGAAGGAAGATTTGCTTTAAGCAGCAGTCGAACCTCATCATGATATGGACAGAGCCTCAACTACCGGTTGCTTACCGCCAGCGCCTGTTTGAGAAAGAATACAACTCGAGTTTGGACCTTGCTCAGGTACATTTTGCTGCATCTTGTGTTACTAAGGTATCTAGGCTTTTGTGGAGGGATGATGTTCTTTTCAATAAAACTCCAGTGCCTGCCGAGGAGGCAAAAATTGTACAGGAGCGTTGTTAAGCTATTCTTTCCGATTTCACATCCTCAAACCGAAGGCTGTCCTATCCCTTGATTCCAACGCGCTGGACCATCCTATGTGGGCCGCATTAGGGGGCGGATATTGCACTGAATTGCATCCGCATGTATGAGTCGGAGCCTTTCTCTGATATCTTTCGAACACCAAGGAGGCCATGCGTACCGCAACAGAATTGCGTTCAAAGAAATTGGGAGCCATACTCACAGCAACAGGAGAGCATGTCAAATGAATGTCATTCCTTTCAGTATGTAAATGTATGACTAAATTTTTATATAATCTCTTGAAAATACATTCTTTAGAGAGACATGTTACAATGGGAGCGGCGCAATATTCATAGGACCCCTGTAGTGTTCGGTTTATTTCTTTTTTGAAAGCCCTCTTAGGTGGACACAGTGGATCAACAATCACCATCTTCCGTAAACATGATCTCCCCGCCCCACCAATGGGTAGCACTTTGCCACGTTACTCCAGCAGAAAGAGCGTTAGCGTTTGAAATAAAGCACCACGCTGCGCCACATCAATGCGCAAATCAACTGACAAGGTGGCTCATCGTCTCTCGGGTTTTGAGCTGTTTCTCAAGGTTCTTCTTTATCCTTGCAGCACTAACCATTCTTTCATCGAAAGCTTCGGCTTTGAGCCAATTGATAAAATGGCAGGTTTCCAATGGAACGACTTCTGTTGTGAAAGCTCTGCTGGTTTCCAGAATTTGTGACATTTCTGTACACAGTATGCAAAGAAATGTTGGTCTCAGTACACATTTCAAAATATTGCCTGTATTTTCATAAATGAATGCGATTAAAACCACAGAGCTTTTTTAAGGTGGACGCAGTGCACTAGCGAATTTCTTCACTGAATTTGCAAATATTACAATTTGAGTTCATTTCTCATTTTTTCTTGTCTGCACCGAATACGTCTGCATTCATTCCAGCAAGAGTCTGATAATTGGGATCGTACGTTCCTGAGTGAGCATCGATAAGAATGAAACGTAACATTCTGGTGATCAATAGATTGCCTATTTCCTACCTGCCATGCCTCCAACGGCTGGCTTCTGAGGTGTTGGAGCAGCTGGAGGAGCGGCTTTCTTTCTTATCTGGTCCAAATACATCACCTTGAACTCCAGCAAGGGTCTGATAGTTTGGATCGTATGTTCCTGGAAGAGATAAGAGTTCGTATGTGATGCCTGAGCATGTAGCAATTCTAGGGGCAGCCCCTCTGGTTAAACAGCATGAAGTCGCACAGATTCCAAAAACATCACAAAGAATTTCTGATCTCAATTACCGCAACTGCTAACGCAATCAGGTGCTAAAAGCGCAACAAGCCCGGAATCTGCCCGGTTGCAGTCCGACGTACAGAATGCTGCCATAGGGCCTAAAAACGTGGTACTAGTCCTTTCTGTGCGGTAGAGTGGCAGTTCACCCCGCGCCATATCACCGACCAAATTCAGAGCCCATCATCAGGATCAACCGAATTCTCCATTCCACTGCTTCGATTATAGCACACCAAGTATACGACCGTGGATCTTGCACACCAATATTGATGTTAAGTGGATTCACAAGGAAAAGAATTTATTTGATGTGGTGAAGTTGACGGTTAGGCAATTATTCAGTCTGAGCTGTCCTTAGGTAGTAAAAGATTGAGCAAAAGGAGATGGGGAATAGAGCACAAGTAATTGAGAGCGGACAGCAGCATGTGAACGACAACAAGATTGAAGCCTGCTGAATCGGCTTTGGCAAGCAATTGCTTTCTTTTCATACTCTGGGCCGAATCATTCGAACGAGGATTTCACGATGAGGTTGTAGGTCAAAGAATGGGAAACCCACCTAGTGCCTAAGGGTGCAGATCGACGCGCAATGCACAGCCAGGATATGCTGCACCGGCGATCTAGCATGGCCGCCTCCGCTCCGCCATCGCCGCTGCCTGCCCACCTCCACGCCGTCTGACTCTTACCGCCTAGCAGGGAGAGCGATAGAGTTGTTAAGTCAGCACCGCTGAGACACGCCTAACGCGCAGATCAGGGGCAAAAAGGTCCCATTGCTCGGGCTCTAGGTTGTTTTTCCTTGGTTTCTTTTTCAATCCTGCATAATCGTAATAACTTCCATCTTGATTTCTGGTAGGCTCTCATTTCGTCTTAAAGTTCGCCTTTAAGAGCCAAGAGAACGGAAAATCTGCGACCTTTGCGGAGAGTGCTATCCTACCCACCAGAAGGATTCACCCACCTGAACTTATCCTGGCTTGTCTTAACTGGGTACCCTACTTGTCTACCCTGGGGTGAGGAGGGATGGGGATGAAACACACCGAGTTGTACATTAGCTGACCCTGCTCTTTGTGTCGGCCAAATAAATTCAAAATACCACTATGATTCTCAATAGAAGTAGCATGCGTGGTGCACTCAAAAACCACCACAAATCAAGATCCATCAAATGATCTACCAAAATGCTTTGTTCTTTTTAGGTGAATAGAGTCCAAACTTGCTTTTACTTACCCTTCTGAATATACGTCAACAAAATAGTTCGGACCACCGCGCGGCTGGTCGTGGCCACGCCTCGTCGCAACTGCAGTGGACGCTTTTCTTTTAGCGTCATTTGAATTTGAGTGTTACAGGGAAGTCGAGCAGGTCTGTCTCTTTAAAATTCAACTCCAATCGACTGCTCCAACTGTCGAAATCAAAGCCCCGCGTTCTTGAAAAACTGCCGCGTTGCGATGCCACGCAAGTGGCCGCGCACGGGGCCCGACGACCGGACAATTTTGTTGGCCGTTTCCTCGCCATTCCTCTCACCCTTTTTGCCTGAGATTGATTGCTACCATCTTAGCCTACTGGTTACAGACACTGTAAGTAGTTTTCGAAGGAATAAAGGCAGATTCCACGATAAGCAGTAAGGAACCATTTCTTCAGTGAGTGAAATAGACCGATGAGCCAGCTCCGACATATGCTCATTTCGAGGTGCTCAATCGAAATGTATTCGTTCAGAATTGATGCACTGAGAACTGTGTCAACTTGTTACTTGCAGCACTAAAAGCGCGGTTCACATGGATGGTAGCAGTATATCCGCGACATGAAAGTGCACAATAAGAGAGCCTATGCCTTTTTTCAAAGTTGCGACTGGCGGCATGCTTGTAAATTGAAGCACACGTGGCGTCCATGCCCTCTCGCGTGAAAAATCTCTTGTGATTTCCCTTCCCGCGCTTTGTCTCACGTCTCACCACGGTCGACTTTACCAGAGAAATTCTAGTGTTTTCTATGGTGTCTTTGCTCTCTTCCTCGCTAGCGCTCCTTGTCCGCTTTCCTGTTCCTTTTCCTTTTTCTGAGCTGAACCAAGTGATCCTTTCCGTACCCTGCCTTGATGTAATAGGCCTAGGGAAGCAATCTTTGAGCTTGTGCAAATCACGACGGATATGGCTGCTGCGTAAATTAGGTGTCAAGATGAACAAAGCCACACCGGTACCAATTCGTTTTGTTAGACTTTTAATACAACTTCAGACACTAAGATCCACTCTTGCTTGGGTCATTTCCTCTAATCATAACTAGTGGCGAGACTTTCCCTCTGACTCAATCGGGCGCTGAGATCGGTCAAGAATGCGAGTTGGTATGTAATACTTCAAGAGCTTTTTCTGGTTAAGTCGAAGTCTGTGAATGACCAGTCCTGGCCAGGAGGAAGGAAGAATGATTCTGAGCGATGACCACTCACTTATGCTCTACTGTCGAAATGGTTGCTGGCAATGACATCGTGCCTGCCTGGATCCCTCCTATCCTGTCTTTTATTGCGATTACAATAGGAGTTGAGTGATGCGCACCGCCGGAGAAAGGCGAAGAAAGGAAGTCAACGCAATCGCGAGACTCCTACCTGCCATAATGTTTCCAACGGCTGGCTTCTGAGGTCCAGCAGCAGCAGGAGCAGCAGCGTTTGGAGCAGGTTTCTTCTTATCCGCGCCAAAAACGTCGCCTTGCACGCCTGCCAGCGTCTGATAGTTTGGATCGTATGTACCTGAATCTTTCTGTTTGATTCTGTTTTTCAAAAATAGCGAACTGTATGCACAGCAGACAGCACTCCCCTACTGGAGCTTTCGGCAGCGCTGACGCCGCTGTTGGTGGGGTTGAGGTCTGCCGATCCACTGACTAAACAATGATTTAATTTGTGAAAAATCGCATGAAAACCTCAAGGAAAGTAGGGGAATGAAAAACTCACTGGCTGTACTTCGGTCGCTATCTCTTTCTAAGAATTCAGTACTAATGTCACGTAAACTGAAATACTGCCTTATGCTTACCTTTTTGCTTCCACAAAGTATTATCATGTATATAGCAGAGAAATACATCAATAATGCGTTGAAAATGCATAATTGCCAACCAGTGACCACCTCGTACACGTTCATGACTAGGAATGATAGCGGAACACACTGATGAGTACTTGTAAAAGATAAATAACCCGTGAAACAGATCATTTCTCCATTCTTAGTTACCATTATCACTTCGAATTTGATTACAAAATTGGCTAGAGCGCACTAACTAAGCGGTGGCTATGTGCTCTTTTATTAACAGTCATGAATTTTTGTGGCATCCATTATTGAATCTTTCTAGTCTCGATTATACACTGCGTCCCATAATTATACGTCCACCTAAAAATTTCCCAAAATCTCACCAATATAGATGTTTCGAAAAATGTCTTCAATGTGACAAAGTATCATATATAAATGCGGAATTGCTTATGAACATCAATTTCCTATTTAAGATCCTAGGATTTTTTTCAATAATTTTTGTCTAAAAGGCCACTCTGCCGACGTCCCAAAATTATACGTCCACCTCACGTTTATCGACTACTTTTCACTTTTGTTCCACGAAACTTTTTCATTGTAGTAACACTTCACTTCTTAAGGGGACTGCATAATAAAAACGGCTGTTGGATTTTGAAGAAGGTTAGGTTGTCGCAAAAATTGTGGAACAACGCATTCACGCCAGATTTGGACCAAATTCACGCCAAGCTAAAGAACTTCTTCAGGGATTTTACATGATATGGAGTTCAGAAGAGCTTTAAGGGTCTCTCATTACTTTTCGAACGAAATCAAGGCCGTGTCACAAAAGAAACATCCACTTTCATCCAACGGTGCTCTGTCATCGAATCTTCTTCAGAACTTAATGCCTCAACCAACTTTTGTTTCACGCCGTGTGAAGGAATCCCAAGATCATCCTTATATGAATGTAAAATCATCATTGGCAAGTTTCGTAGACGAGAACTTGGGCCTTGATTCTGCTGAAGGTGCAACCGAGCCGACCGAGGCAAGGTTAGTTTTTTTTTGCCATGCAGAAGTGCTTCTTTGTCTCTTTTTCGCCCTTTTCTTTCTTCTAGTAGTGCTTTACTGAGAAAAAAAAGCCACTGTGGGAAAGGTAAACGTGAGAAAAAAAAAGTACAAACAAAGCCAGAGAACATATCAGCCCAGAGCTACACTGGTTACCCATACATCCGCGCATGCTTCATATGTGATGTCTAGTGCTGGCTTGCCAAATTCATGCAATAAAATCAGCCAGCTTCAGCCACGATTCCTGCCCACAATACTGAATGCCCTTCACATATCATAACCAAGAATTTTATGGATCCTCACAGCACGTGAAACAAAAAGTTAGTTGAGGCATTAAGTTCTGAAGAGACTTCGATGACAGAGCACCGTTGGATGAAAGTGGATGTTTCTTTTGTGACACGGCCTTGATTTCGTTCGAAAAGTAATGAGAGACCCTTAAAGCTCTTCTGAACTCCATATCATGTAAAACCCTGAAGAAGTTCTTTAGCTTGGCGTGAATTTGGTCCAAATCTGGCGTGAATGCGTTGTTCCACAATTTTTGCGACAACCTAACCTTCTTCAAAATCCAACAGCCGTTTTTATTATGCAGTCCCCTTAAGAAGTGAAGTGTTACTACAATGAAAAAGTTTCGTGGAACAAAAGTGAAAAGTAGTCGATAAACGTGAGGTGGACGTATAATTTTGGGACGTCGGCAGAGTGGCCTTTTAGACAAAAATTATTGGAAAAAAATCCTAGGATCTTAAATAGGAAAATTGATGTTCATAAGCAATTCCGCATTTATATATGACATTGTCACATTGAAGACATTTTTTCAAAACATCTATATTCAAGATTTTGGGAAATTTTTAGGTGGACGTATTGTGACGCAGTGTACTTCTTTACGCGCTCCTCCTTGCAAAAGTGGGACTCTTGGTCCTGAGAGAAGCCAGAGTAGTCGCATTCGGATTGGGTCTTGCTTCTTGACCTCGAGCCCAACTTGTATTAGGTCGATGAGGCTGTCGTTCAAGCTGTTGTTGAAATAGCTGATCTAAATTTTATTTTTTGTTCGTTTATTCAGTGTATTTTCCATGAATTCTACGTTGCCACTTCCATGTTTTTCGATTACTTTTATTTTTTGGCACTACACATGAGATACCTCATGTAATAAATGAATAAATAAATAAAATACTTCTACCACAATTTTGCATTCACTGCACCCCTCATTTACCCCATCTAGTTCTGTGGGCTTTTTCAACCTCTGTCCGTGGAAAACTTGCCATATTGAAGTTGTACTATTCCTTAGTTCTTATCGGTTTCTGCACTGATTATGCTGTTTAGGATAGATGACTGCCAGCGATTTCGGGATCTTTGAAGTTGAATAGATAACGATTTGACGTAAATTGTTCGACGTGACTACGCAGCGGTTCCCTCTACAGCGTCGTTGTTCACGACCTGGTGCACGAAAATTGAGAAGAGAAGGAGAGACAAACCGTCACAAGCTAAAAGCTGTGAGTCAGAAAAGAAACGCTGAGTCTTTTCCTATAGGAGGACATTATGTTGCAGTACGAGAAAGCTACATTATTCTAATAGTGTTCAGTGAGTCTCTAGTGGCAAGAAACACAAAGTTAGAAAGAACAATACTCACGTAGTTTTGAATTTCTTTTCGCGATGGCTGGCCATAAGAGAGATTGAACCTTGATTCACCAGCTCGCTTTCAATTCCAGAAAGTTTCCAAAAAATGTCATGCCAGTGTTCTCCCCAGAATCCCGTTCCTGTTTGATTGCCCGTTTATGTGAGCCCATGCTGATTCAATTCTTGTATGTATCAATAATCTGGCGTCTACAAAATCGGCACGATAACGATTTTTTCCGGCACGAATTCATATGAGCAAGTCCCTAACCAGGACAAGTTCGACTAATAATGGTAGCCAGCACAACGTTGGAGACATCATTGTACAATTGGACCATTCTCAAGTTTTGAACGGTTCTACAACAATCACAATCTTCCATCAATGCTACCTACTATCCTATGCAGTACGCAACTTATTCCATCATTATTATTAGGTTGGAAGGAAAGTTCCTTAACACTCAATTCGCGCTCTTTCTGGATTTCTCCCGAATGCTCTGGAATCTTCCATGGGTGGTATATAGTAGGAGTGGACCGTGCTACGTACGGTGATCAAATCAGCTTTCCCAATAATGGCGTTTGCATGGCACTAAATCAACTTTTCCCGCCAGACACTCCGAGCGCTCATTCTGTAAGAGCTCCGCCTAGAGAGATCTGCCCACCAGAGGTGGTCAGGATCAGTCCCGGGATAGGCCTGGGCACGTTCTCTCACATGGCGGTTTCGGCTTGGTTTAAACGCTCCGCAGCGAAGACTTTGATCTTTCTGACGCAACACACGACTACTGCCCATTTTGACGTTTGACGGTATTTCCCACGGGTGATGATCTGTCTGGAGGATTGACGAGTACAAGGGCTTCACAATGCTAGCTGCTCGAAAAGATTGCAGAAGAGCTTCGCCGAATATAGCGACAAGTCAACCTGCTTCACGACAACGCGCAACGTCGCGGGTGTTCGGTCTCAAGCCACAAGACTCTGAAGCCAGGCAGGACCGCGGCTGCCCGTCTGCCATATTCGTCAAACCTATCTATACACCTCTTCAACCTTTCCTGCTCGCTTGCTCATTACCTGGAGAACAGGAAGCTCGACGACGTAAACGAGCGCAAATCCGACACCAGAAGGTTGTTTGGCAAAAATCTTCCTAATTTCTAATTTCTGCGGTGTCACCCAAATGCCCGAAGGTTGGCGTAGTGTTGTTGTATCTAATGGTCAATATGTTATGGATCATTGAATAAATAAAGAATAAAAAAAATAAATTCAAAAATTGAGCTACAAGTGTTAAGGAACTTTCCTTCCAACCTAAATAGTTCATTTTATATATGAGTAGATCCACTTTGTGCGACCTCCTGAGCGCTATTTGTGAGCACCTTCTTTGTAGGAGATGTTATTCGCATCCATATCTAACCACTGATCCCACTCGCAGATGTTCAGGTCTATCTCACACGATTTACTCTTTGTTCCACTTCAATTTCAATGATTAAAGATATGCTTGTTGCATTTCCCCACTTTAAAAACAGGTTATTCTTGAGCGTACCAGCCTTTCCTAATGATTCTTCTTTCTTCTAGATGGACGCGCGTTTTATCATGAGATTTATCGGACGCTTTCCTCTCCTAGTGCTGAAGTTACAATTCGTAGGATTGCAATGGACATTTCTTTTTTGTTGCGATGCAGCAACCCGCAATCAATTACCTCTCGTGTGCCACACCCTGAAAAGGGCCGTGTCCCCGGAGAGCATGCGGTGGCGGGCGCTGACGGCCCCTGAGGCTAGGCCTTAGGGGCAGAACTCGGAGGGTGCGTGAAAATCCTCTTGTCCCTGGAGATGCTCCTCCACTCTTAGACATTACTAGGAGAATGATAATTTGATGCATCCATCCCTCGCAAGCACTTCTTCGCACCGGTCAACATGCATAAAAACTCGTATCTTCAGAAAACAGAGAAATGACTAGGAATGGAGCTGCTAGCGGTCGTAACTTCAAAGGACTTCTTGAGCAAATTAGCATTAAAGCAGTTCATGCAGGGCTATGATCTACCTTTTCATGCAAAAATAGCCATGAAGAGAGACGTTATCACGAAACTAATAACACCATATCGCTTCAAAGAAGTCACAAAACAATTAGAATTACCGTAGCCTTCTCGAATTAGTGCAACATAATGCTTCCCCCTCCCGTTAACTGGAATAAACCCAAAACGCTTTTTCGCTACTTGAATTTGTGCACATCA